TGTTCATCCAAAGTTTGTATCCGCCTTATCTAGTGATTATATAATTTCAGCGACATTTGCAATGAAACATGAACAGTCTCGCTTCAATGTAATTAAGTTCGTTACATTTATTTTTTTATTTTGCATATGAATGACTTTTTTTTTAGTTTAACACTATAAAACCTATGACCTACAAAATGCCACACTGACTGGATTCCAATGACACCTCACCTTCATAGAGGATCCTAATTTGTATGCCTCTTATTCTCCTTTTGATCCAAATGGTGTTTTGAGTGTCCAATAGCGAATTAAAGATGATAAACATCTTGGAAACGCAACAACTTTAAAGCATTGCAATAAAGGTCACCATACGGCCTTAAATAACCAGGGCAAAACCAAAACCGTATTGTAATCTTTAAAAGAACCCAGCATCGCAAATGTGAAATAATTCAAAAGAGAAAAAATGACCTGATAAATGCTAAAACTGGAAACGAAAAATAATATTGCAAACAAACGACAGCGATAAAAATACAGGTTTAAACACGCTTAAGCCTCCCCAAACCAGGGACGGTACAGCGACTCTCTGGAGAGCATCCTGATTGCATTAATGATCATAGATATACTTCCGGTTTACAACTCCCAACTGTTTTTTATCCGAGCGGCACTGATGAGTCTTATGTAGACTAAACGTGCGTCTCGCTTATAAAACTATAAGCCTGATATCTTTGATGAGTTTGTACAACCACTGCGTCTATGCTACTGCTGCTGGACGTTTCGTTTTCGAGAGTGTCCCTAGCCCATTATTCAACTATTACGTGTTGACGTCAAATATCATTGAAATGTTCATTTGTCTGAAAATTTAATGTTTAGAAAATGTTGAATTGTTCGAAACACTAAGGTTTTTTATCCCAAGGTATAGATTGCCTTAACCTCATTTGCCACAACATGATATTTTTTGTGCTTTTTCAATTTCGTATTTGATTTGGCTTCTCGAATGTTTTGATTCGATCGTCACTGATGAGTTTTATGTAGAGGAACAAAATTTTAGGCCAGGTATCTTGGATGAGTTTGTGAACCGTTTAGGAAATCACTCACCACCTTTCAAGCGCAATTGCTATTATATTAGGTATTGTTTTCTATAGTGAGTCTTCTTTATTTATGCACATGTTGGCTGGATGTTTGTTTTTAACACTTTAAAGTACATGCATTGTTCATCAGGTATACGTTATTTTTTATTTGTCTCAAATTTTAATTGTCCTCTGTATATTTTCCTTGGTAGCACAGTTGTTCTGATATTTTTCTATCTTTTAATTTAGATATTCAGATTATAATAGATATATACCTCCTATAAACTAAATAGGAAATCGAAGACGTAGAAACTGTGAATATTTATATATGGTCAGTCGGCGTGTGATATTCTAAATACACGGTTAGTAGTATTTGTTAGTAACGTGACGGTACCCAAATTGCACCTAAAATCACGGTTTTTACGTTTCCGCTGTTAAACTGTGCAAATACAAATTACATATTTATACTTGATTTATTCCTTAGACCAAGCCGGTTCTTTTGGTATAATTATCAAACTCTAGTTCGAAGTCAATAACAGATAGTTGGTATTCAAAGTGACTACCAAATGACCGATAAAGTCTACCATGAGGAGTACCCAAATTGCACCCATCAGTGAAAATGTTAATTTATTTAGAAATTCGATCTATTATTTACTTTTCACCAATAACCTAATTTTTCGGACAATTTCGTCAACTTAAGAATGTTCTTGGTCATCTTTATTAGACCGTGACACCACCGGAAATTAACACTAAAACGAAAGTAAAAGTACTATTTTTATAGCTGCAGCATGCACAGGCTCAATATGACTCGAAGTTGACTGTAAAAGTTGGTTCAAATATATTTCATATCTTTATGGAGATTATTTGTTTTGACGAATGACCAGATAACTTCAATTTACGTCCTGGAGTAAGAAATGAATGATGCAAATGATCTACCTCTGTAACCTGGACATTTGTCAAATGTAAGTTGTCAATTAAAATTCAGGAATGTATTTATTGCTGTTATGTAAGATAAAAAAAGTTTTATAAAATTTGGATTTGTTATTTCAAATACCTTTATTTAGGTTCCCTTTTTGCTTAGGGGTGTGGATGGGTGTGATGAGACATATACTGTGGAAATGCTGTGCAAAGTCCAACCCTGCCCAATCATTTGTTATAGAAAAGTGGAGTCACCTATAATGTTTTGTACATTTCTTCTTCCAGGTAAGGAACCGGATTCAAAATTGAATGTTATTGGTTCCGCGCGAAAACTTTACGCAGTGTCGGGCAACACAGAAAGTTCTCTCTTGGCTATTTACAAATTACATTTAAAAAGTTCGCAATATTATACAATTAAAATTATGTACAACTGGTGTTTCCTACTTCCTTTCAGAGCATGCCTTAAGGGCAGCTCTGAATCCCTCAACGGTGTTGGCCGATGAAACTGATGTTGGTAAGTTGTTCCAATCCCTGATGGTCCTCGGGAAGAAAGATTGGCCGTAGGCGTCTGTACTTGTTCTTTCTTGGTAGAAGCGGTTTTTACCTCTGGTCCGGTTATCATTTGGGGTTAAATATTGGTGACGGTCTATGTCTATAAGATCATGCTGGATCTTGAATAGCATGCATAGTCTGTTTGTTTTCCTCCGTTCTTCTAAGCTTTCCCATTTTAGATTTTTGACCATATTTGTGACACAGCCAGGTGTTCGGTCTGTGTAGTTGTTATTCACAAATCGTGCTGCTCTTTTCTGTACCTGTTCAATTGCCTTGATTTTATTTTGGGTTGTTGGGTCCCATACTGTGCATGCATATTCCACTGCAGGTCTTACCATGGATACATATGCAGCTGCCTTTACAGGTTTTGTACAGCCTTTGAGATTTCTACGTATAAATCCCAACGTTCTATTCCCTTTGCCTACTGTATTGTCTATGTGTTTGTCCCAGGTTAGGTTGTTGCTGATGGTTACTCCAAGATATTTGCTCGCTTCCACTGTGTCTAGAGTATGACCGTGTAGTTGGTATGATGTTTGTATCACTGGTCGATTTTTTGGTGATATTCTAATGACAAGGCATTTTTTGGCATTGAAACTCATCTGCCATTTGTTTTCCCAGTCTTCCAATGCTGATAAGTCTTTCTGGAGAAGTTCACTGTCTGCTTGGTTGGTGATGGTTCGAAAGAGAAGGCTGTCATCCGCGAATAATTTGGTCTCTGATGTAGATGCTGTTTCTGGCATGTCGTTAATGTAGGCCAGGAACAGTAATGGACCAAGGACTGTGCCTTGGGGTACACCAGAGAGTACTGGTACTTGTGTGGAGACGGCTCCCTCTAGTATTACGCTCTGCTTTCTGTTATGTAGGAAAGAGCGAATCCATTTGTTGGTTTTGGGGTTGACGCCATAGTATGCCAGCTTGTGTAGTAGGCGGTGATGTGGTACCTTGTCAAATGCTTTTGCAAAGTCTAGCAGGATGATATCTACTTGGCTGCTGCTTTTTTAATTTTGATGCAATGTCGTTGATGGTTATGATGAGTTGGGATTCGCATGATCGTCTTTTGCGGAATCCGTGTTGTGCATCAGTTAGTATTTTATTTTTGTCAAAGTGGTCCATGATGTTGCTATGTACAATATGTTCTAAGACCTTACATGTGATGGAAGTTAGAGATACTGGTCTGTAATTAGATGCTAAGTGCCTTTCGTCTTTTTTGAAAAGTGGAACTACATGGGCATCTCTCCAATCTTGCGGGACTTCGCCAGTGTTCAGTGATGCTTGGTATAGGTCTGTGAGTATAGGAGCAAGTTGTTCTGCTGCTGCTTTTAGTATAAAGGATGGTATTGAGTCAGGACCAATAGCTTTGTGAGGTTTCAGGTTTTTTAACAATTTGTGGACTCCATTGGTGCTAATTTTTATGTCCTTCATGGTGGAGTATGGACTTCTTCCTTTATCTGGGAAGTTATTAAGGTTTTCTTTGGTAAATACTGACTGGAATTGGTCGTTTAGAATGTCAGCTTTGCTCTTGTTGTCACTTTGCAGAAATCCTATTTTGTTTTTTAACGGTGCCACTCCTGTCCATTCTTGACCTTTGCTCTTGATATAAGACCAGAATTTCTTTGCGTTATCTTTATAGTCGGAGCTGACTTCTTCCATATATTTTCTTGTTGGCTTGCCACTGAACTTCTTGTTGTAGTCTTTTATACATATCCTTGTCTCTTTTCTTTTTAGTTTTCCTAGCCTTCTTGTGTGCTTTTTGTTTTTGGTTAATTTTGCGTTTTGATATGTAAAATGGGGTCAACTTTATTGTTTCGCATCCTTTATTTTAAGAATAAAAATATCTTGATCTTTGCAAAGATACATTGCCACCTGTTTGGGTTACTACTCAATTTCTTTTGTGGAATGGCAGATTTTTTAAATATGCTGTAAATTCAGAAATTATTATGTGCTTTTATTATTGCAATTTTCAAAGAGACGAAACAATGCAAGGTTTATTTTTGCCATTTCAGAAAATAATTGTCTACAGATTTATGTATCGGATATCAAAATGCATGTTCTTTCTATTGCGAAACTCACCCAATCTTAATATTCCCATAAATACTCACAATAATTTCTGAATTAACAGTAAATTTCATTATTCTTTTCTCTATCAAGCTGAAGCAATTTCCAAATGCATTAATTATGTCTGCATCAAATAGTGTACAAGGTATTTGGTATAAAGCACAAAATTAAAATAGATTGGATCTTTTATATAGTTCATAGTGAAGAAAGACAAGGCATTCATAAAAGCATATATATATATTAAAAAAAAACGAATTTTTATATATATGTATAGCAGTACATGCCAGAACATATATTATGTTTAAAAGAAGCACACCAATCTGATTAGATTTTTCAAGACATAATGACAATTTCAAAAAGTAATTATAAAACAGTATTTGATATGTCCATATTCAAAATGAATTTATAGACTTGGAGCAATTTCCCTATTCAATTTTCTGCACATACCCATTGTCTTGAGACAGCTAAACATCTTTGATAATTTGTAAATATGTTAGATGGAACACATGATTGGTGGAACATGTGCCTGCAAACAGAGCAGTGCATCCAAAACATTTCATCATCAGTGACTAAAACATTTTCTTCAGTTAGCATACAAACTTGACATATAAATGTATTATCATTTTGAACATTATTTCTACATATAAAACAATGCCAATCACTGTCAACGATGAGACTAAGATCAATATATGGCAGTTCATCATTTGGATTATATCCTCTATGGTACCATTTCATACAATTGTCATTGTCACATCCATCCCAAAGTATACCATTGTTATCATCTTGCACGCATCCCCTTACACCACACACACCACATGTATAACACTCATCATCCTCATAATCTTTCATATCACCATTTGTTGAAATGTCCATACCACCATCTACAGTCTGAAATGATTAAACATCATTAAAGGTATGAATTTTATTGCACCTGATGCACAGTTCTACAATTAATATCTCTTCGGTGATGCATGAGGCCAAAATATTTTAACCTACCATAATAAAAACATTAACATGATTAATATGCAATAATAATGTCATTATGATCATTATACCAAAGATTTATAAATAATTAGGTATATTTTATATCTTTTAGTTTCTTATTGTTGATTTAATTAAAAAAAAAAATAAACTGCTTAGATGGTTTAAATTATTATTTTTATTACAATAAAGTTATATAATTTTTAAAATTTGGTGATTGTATGGGCCAGTAATTTTTCCAATTTTTCAATCTGCAAATTATTACCTTTCTTTTCCTTTTCTGTTTGGGACGTGACAGCACTGGAAAATCATCACCACATTCATTATTTTCTACATCAATGTTTTTGTTTACTACTTGTTTTTTAGCTTTCTTCTTTGGCTTTTGTTTAGTAGGTGTGGTTTTACCATTTTGTCTGGGTTGCCTTTTTGTTTGCTTGTTCTTCTTCTCCTCCTTTTCCTCAATCTGTTTCCTCCATTCTGATTCTAAAAAAATGATTAAGCTCAAATTTGAAATTTCTGCAACAAATTATGAAGAAAAGGAACACAATCTTTAAAAATAAGTAAATGTAGACTTTAATACTTATAAAAAAAATCATGTTTTAGTATTATATATATACGGTATATATAATTATGTAAAATGAAGCCCATACCTTTATATATAATATGTATTGAGACTCTGTGTCCAATGTTTTCTGTTGGTTTGAAATATTTTGTTTTAGATACTTTGTTGTTTTGATTAAATAATAGAAGACAAAGGGTATGGGGTATCCAATTATGACACAAAATCAATACAATTGCACAGCAAAAAATACACAAAAAGCAAAGGTTTTATTGCTGTACTTCATCTGAAAGTCACAGTGAGACCTTTATTTTAATATACCGTTATATTTTACCTGTTATAACCCTTGCAACTGTAACTACTCTACTGGCTTGCTGTTTCTTTCCTTTGCCAATAATTGGAACAAATATGTCAGCTAGTTCCTGTGGAATCAACCCCTCCTTTACCAATGGGTGACCATGGACAAACTGTCCACACGAATGACACAATGGATCTGTATCAGAGGTTGTCCCTTTATAATAGTCATCCAGGGGAGCCAATTTCTTATTGTCGATGGCTTCTCTGTTGAAAAAATGGCAAAATTCCACACTTACTGAAAGCATTTTTGACAACATATGGGCTTAAAGCCGTGTCCATGGCTGTACTAAGAACCTGAGCAAACCTAAAAAAACCATAAAGCAAATTTATTACCGGTATATCATAAATTAGTGTTCTGAATTAGAATTATTTATATATTCAATTTTATTCAAACAAAAAGTTCATTTGTTGTTTAAACTACACATGTATGAGAGTCTGTATGTAGTAATTATTTTAAGATATATATAATGTCTAAAAATTCGTCTAAATATATATATACATAACTACTCTCTCTCTATATATATATATATATATATATACCAGTGGCGGATCCAGGGGAGGGTTCCAGGTTAGTTATACTGAAAACTAAAAATTCATACAATCAATTTAATCATTTTCCTCGTTAAGGGAAAGTTTCTCTGATAGCAGTATTCTATGTATGTGACTAGGCTCTGCTTTTCTTCTTTATTCTTTATTCAAGACTCGTGTTGGAAAGTTGGTGTTTCCATTCCTTAAATTTCTTCTTATAACAGAAGTGTGTATGTTAAATTCTTTTGCAGCCTTATAGAAAGAAGTTCCATTATTTACAGCATTTATTGCCCTTTTCAATCTCTCTGGACTATATTGTTTGTAATTTTCTGAAATCAATCAATGGCATATACTTTTACATAATTCAAATAAAACATTAATATTCTATGTTATATTAGTCTTAGATGTTTGTTTGAAATAGAAGAGTTGTGCCTTGTTAGGTATATTGAGTTTTGCTACCAGAGATAGTTTTGTTAAACAAGGAATATGATAAACATTATTTCTAAGAACAATTATTAAATTTTTAAGATAGGAAGAGAAATACATTTTATATTAATTAAATTAAAGAGGACCACCAAACAAATGGTATGGAAGCTTTCAACAGAGACAAACAGACCTTAATCCACAAATTATAGATGAAGGTTGTCAGAAAATGCCAAATTGATATAAATAATATTTGCATTCCATTTTATTTATTTATTTGTAATTTTCATGAAGCTGTAGGATTTTTATGGACTACTTTTTTTTTATGTAATATTTGGTTAAAGTTATCCTCAGAGCTCATGTTTGATTGCTGTTTGATATTTATATTCCAACTTTAAGTAAGATTTAATTACTTACTAACGTCTGGAAATATAGTATACTATTCCCAGCTTACTTGCATGGATTTTCCTGAGGGATTTACTTTTCTTTAAAAGTTTACATCTCAACTCCTGTATTTTGTATGTTATTTCTGATTCTGTGTTTCATGTGAAAAACAATGTTTAATAGGAATACAAATCAATATCTAACAAATTTATTTATTGATTTTTATTGTTGTGGTTTTAATTGTGTTCAGTATATATCAAAATGGTTCCCGGTCGGAACTGCACTATTTTCATGTTTCTCGTCCTAGGGCACCTGATTTTTTATATCGATTCAAAATGGCGGAACTGACGGGTTTGGGGACACGTCAAGGTATTTTTGTTCTGTACCTTAAGAGTTTATCAACTGACGATTAATTTTTGTTAAAGAACATTTTATACTTTAAAAGTGAGTAGGTTTACAGTAATATTCTTGCGATTTAACGAGTAAAAGGTGTATTTTTTCAATCGTCGCACGAAGGGTTTTTCAGTGCGGCATCATTTTCTTAAGGACTTACTCTTTGTATTTTTATTTTTTGTCCGCTTCGGTGAAGGTCGAACCATCCTGAATATTTCCAGAGACGCAAAAATAGACGGAAATGACGAAAAGTCAGGCGTTGCACGTTCTTTGAAAAATACATTTACAAGTTTATCATATACTTGTATAAAATATTACTAAAATTTTACTGTTCAATAACATTTAAAAATATTAAAAGGCTATGAAAGGATTACTAGGTTTATTGACCAGATTCCTAAGAATTTCCTCAGCGGGCTGATAAAGGAACCTTTATTGACTGCTTCCGGAATGTTATTACATGCCTTTTCATTAATTTCCGTGACGTTTATCACATGCAACTTCGTGCATTTCCGGAAATTTGTTCGAAAACGACAACACAGTGCGGAAAACCGCAAATGATTTAAGACTTTTCACAAAATGGTTGAGGAGCAAATTTCAAACTAAGAACATGTTAATTGTTGTGACAAGATAAATAAAATGCTTGTAATATCAATAAAAACAATAAAAGTTAAGACATTTGTATTTGGTAGTCTGTAAATTATTATCTATAAATTCATGGAAAGACAAAATTTTAATTAATAGTTCTTGTCTGTATTTCTTCTGTTGAAGTATATGATAAAAAGATAATTACATGTCATTTATCATATCAGACCCTTTATCGGCCCTCGTTCATGATATCAGCCCTCGAGCCTGCGGCTCTTGGGCTGATATCATGACCTAGGGCCGATAAAGGGTCTGATATGAAAAATGCCATGTAATAATCTATACTTATTATATACTTAGTAGTAAATACAGATAAATTGAATGTGTAATACAATCATTGGCAAGCGTGCTGTATCAGCCACCCGTGATGATATCTATATCAGCACGGTTGCAAAGGCTTTATTACACCTTCAATCTGTATAACGTCACGTCATCGATTGCAGTCACTGTTGCAAAGGCTTTATCAAACCCCTAATCTGTATGACGTCAATTCAAACCTTACCTGTATGACGTCATGTCAAATAAAAAACATCTACGTGAGGTATATGTATATAATAAAGTGTATATGATATGGCTTTTTCATTATCACACACCGTATCAACCCTCAACCAATATAATCCCTCGAGCAGAGCTCTTGGGATTATATTGGTGTCTCGGGTTGATACAGGTGTGATATTGAAAAAGCCATATGATATTCTCTATATAAATAATGGGATCAAGAAACAAGCAACATTGCTTATTTTAATATGTCTCTAAAAGAATATTGACATACAATATAATGAATACTTGGAGCATGCTCTGTCAATTGGAATATATTAAGAATTGTAAATACAAAATAAGATTGCTTATATAGTTTGAGAAAAAAAAAACCAAACAAAAAACAAGTGAATAAAATGAGCTAAATGAAATGCCAGGAAAACATATAAATGAAGCTTTCATATTATGGTGTGAATCTTTTACTTTTCAATATATATTTCTGTACCAATACAAAAAGAGTACAATTTTCTTCATCAGTTAAACAATCTGACCCAAAAAGTAAAATATTTACATCAATACGCTGCGAAAAATAGGTGCAACTTGGGTACTCAGTGCAATTTGGGTACTCTTACGTTAGAGTTATGTGCCTTAAAAACACGGTGTTGTTCTCAAATTAACATTGTAAACATTCATAATTATAATTTTTCAAGGTTTTAGACAAAACTGATGTTAATAATTGAAAGTTATGCTTTACGTTGTGTTAAATTATTATATCAAGGTTCTTTAATATTAAAAAGTGAAAACAACACTTTATACATTTTATGCATCCGAAGTGCTTTTCTAGATTTACATTCATTAGAAATGCTCAAAGCTGAACATTATATATATGTAAGAACCGAAACAGTCAAATGGCTAAATGACCAAATAAGGACTTAAAATTCTAATGCAATTATTTTGTATCAATGGTACTGATTGGATGATAGTAAGCGTAAAATTCTCTATCTCCTTGTCTGTAACTAAGGAAGCCGACATTTTGAATCCGGAATGTATTGACATATAGTTTCTCCAATAATAAGGTAAAAAAACTCACATTTTGCACCTCTTAATCTTCTTTTTATCAAATTTTATTACATTCTGAGGCGGCCAAGAAGCAAAAAAACGCCCGCTGTTTACGTTTGACGCCGGAAGCATACCTATGAAGTCACCTAGTTTAATGGCCAAAGAAGATAACATCATTTCGCGAAATTTTTCGTTTAATGAACATTTTACACAGAAATAATGACTTAAATTGAATTATGTATTTATTTTGCATTATAATAGAGATAACAGTCAAATCAACCCAAAGTCAACTTTTGTCCGATGGGAGTTGTCTGGTAAAACAGGTAAGAAATAGGAAATTGACAATTGGACAATCTAAATCATCATGTTTGTCAAAGATTCTAGTTTGAAGTCGTCCATCTGTGTCAATTTGAGCAAAATATCAAAATATGAAGCAGACATTCTAGTCTGTAGTATTCTTTATCTCAAGTTCACTGGAATATATAAGATGTAAAAGCACTAATTCAAATATGGGTTATTGAGTGACAGGACATCATCAATATATATGAAAGTGATATTGATGAACTTTGCTTTTTCTTTTTTTCTTTGAAAAGACTCTGTTTGAATTTTGTTTTATATAAGTACAAAAACAAGTCGACCAGTAGTGGTGCACAATTATTACCGATTTAAATGTCTACTGCCGGCTGAAATATCATTCCAAAATTTCGACAAATATGCTGTCGATAAAAATGTAATCATTGTGATGGTTTCATCGTAGGTGTATTTTTTGCGGGAATCAGTGTGTGTCTTCACAAAAATAGATTTTTCATGACCTAAAAAAGATTTGTATCTACGTTTCCCGTTTCACTGTTATTCTCTGGGTGTATCATCAGCTTATAAGCAATTATTTCGGTACTGGCATGAATACACGGATATTGTTTTTTTTTAATCTTGATGTCATAAATTTCCGATATCCTTTAAAATTAAGGAATGTATCTCCCTCGTGCATAGCCCTGTCCGGGTTTGTCATTACTTTTGGTCCTTTTAGGTTTTATCAGCTTAACAACCTTTTTAAATGTTTTGGTTTTTCAAATTCTTTGGCCTCGAGCATCTCTGAAAATCATTAGTTGTCGAAGTGCGCATCCGATGCAGTAACATTGGTGAAGAACAGATACCCAGTATAAAAATGGGAGTTTTCACCGTCCCTTTTTTATGTTAATAACAAAGGAGAGAAGACCGAATTTGTGAATCTCTAAAAACTCCTCTTTCGTGAATGATGTATGGGTATATGTGGGATTGCTAGTTTTGTTGTGAATTCCCAGTATTTTAATGAGACATTCTAAATAATGAGTTCTGTATATAAAATAATAATGAGGCTTTGTCTGCTGGAACAACAACTGTGACACATTTGTCGTGAAGAGAGGATAAAGCATCCACAACTTCGACTTCTTGATACTTCAGAAGCCCATGAACTCATTGTACATAGTAAATGTAAATGCGCTTTTCCATACATGACAAAACCGCTTTGATTCATTTAGATAAAGTATCTAGTTAAGGTTCATCATGCTCTCGCTGTATCCTTTATCTGGAATTGTCCTCAACTGCATCTATCAGTAACCTGAAGTTATTATTCCAGTTGATGGGAAGTTGAATTCGATATGTTTGAGCCTTTGGCTAATAACTCTATAAGGTGTTCATTGAACTGTTGTAGGGTAGAAAAAGAAAGACAGAAAATAACAAAAGGGATTTTCAGACTCAGTAGAAGATAAACGCCATGGCAAGTCAAAAATGAAAAACGACAGACTACAAAACAAGACATAAAAAAAACTAAAATCAACACGAACCCCACCAAAACCGGTGTAATCTAATGTGCCCCCGAATGGTAAGCAGACCCTGCTCCCCATATGACACCCGTAATGAATTGTTAGGATAATTTGCAATTGAACGGTTTTAAACTGTTCAAAAGTATAACTGTCAAAATCATTCTTAAAGTAGAGCTTAGAGAATCTTTTATAGGATAGGACTTTCAGAATGTGTAAAAGGGTAGAACAGTTCTAAATGACGTTAATTAGAGCAGCTCTCTGATCGTTATTTAGAACCGGGTCCGCTAGCTGGATTTTCCCTGTAAGTCATATTTAAGATAAAAAAAATTGAAGAGTAAAACTAATTACAGTCTTGTATGTACGTTTTAGGTCTGCTATTTATCCATGGTTATAATTAATTCTTAATCAAAGTTATTTTTATTTTAATAATAATTCTTAAGCAGTGAGGATATAATCTTCTAATATTTCCTTAATTATTATTAACCAGACCAATACAGAGTCTGGACCTGCGTCGCTTCATGCAATAGATTGGGGTAACATGTATACTGAAATATTGCTACCTAAAAAGTGTTTCTTGTGAAATGAGAGTAGTAAAAATCTAAAAATATTTGCAAACTGGAGGTGGCTGCACTGCAGATGTACACATTGCCTACATGCTACAATTCATCATTATCAAGCTGCAAAAAAATATAAAATCATTCCCTTCATTGGAAGGCAAGACAAAATTGACAAAATATTCATTGTACAATGAGTGTCGTAAAGTTTCAAAATGTCGGCAAACTGTTAGTGGTTACACAGCAGATGTAAAAATTGATTACTTACTACAACTGTGAACATTATTTGAATTGCTTTATCTATATATAACATGATACATATTTATTATAAGGTTAAATCCGAACTATCCTACTGCCTGTCGATACTTTTATTTTGGCATTGCACAAGTCATATCTTCTTTGACTGTCCATGACGTTAAAACACTAAATCCCTGGGATGTGTTTTAATTGAATTTAGTCTCTGATGCATGATTTTTTATTATTAAGGTAGCTTGGGTGTCTCCTCCATCTTGGATTTTGAAATAGCAGATAACAATCGGTTTATAGCTGTAAGGATATGTGCAAATTTCGAGAATCGTATGTAATTCATGTGTAATAAAATTGAGAATGGGAATGGGGAATGTGTTAAAGAGACAACCCGACCATAGAGCAGACTTTTCTTGTAACTATAGAAAATTATGTGTTTTATCATATTTACGGCTGTATTTTACAAAAACATAATATTTTTGTTTGATTAATTTTTTTCAACTTTGCCTCAAACGGGGAGATAACTCAGAAAGAAGGGGAGATAACTCAGTTAAACTAACTTTTATGATAGAATGTGTTGTGAATTTACCTATTTAATTATGCAGCAAGAAAACGCGTCCGGTGACCCCATTTTTTCTTTTTCTTATCTGAAAGCATATTATTAGAGCTATCTTCAAATATTTTATCTTATAATTCTATGGTGTAGTTTTCTTTTTATCACACAAAATTGTGTTTTCCATGCATAATCTATATAAAATCTGACAATTTTGCACAACCTGTAGCGTGAAAAAAAGCCCGGTGTCCCATACTCTTTATCATATTTTTGAAAAGAGCATGATATAAACAACATTTTGACAAATTATTAAAAAATCTATGGATATTAATGAAGACCGCCTATCCACCTTAATGTTTTTGGCTTTTAACTAGCTTTCAGTAACTGCGAGTACCCTCAAATCGTACTTTCGTGTTACTTTGACCTGTTGACACAATTTGTAATGCATTTTTGTTATTCAATGTTTACTTATTTTGTGATATATCTCGTCTCACTATTTTTAATAATAAGTATTTAGTATGACGATAAATTTTTCACTTCTATTCTCACTCGTACTATAAACAACAAATTTATTTATTTTGTAAAAACTATTTCTGTACTAACAACACAATTATTATATTTAAATTTACCTGTTTACGTTATTTTATTTAACGCCATTTTGTCCCAGGTCAGAGTTGTCTTTTTGACATTGTTTTACATCCCATTTTTTATTAATATTATATTTATATTGTATCATGGATCAAATTTATTCGTTCAGTGTTGTTTTCTTGTTTCTGTTAATATGTCTTTTTGATCGTGTTAAGCCATTTCAATCGATATTTTATA